CCGTTGTGGCTTCTCAAGAGCAGTGAGGTCATATTATGTCAGGCAGGACACATCCGAATGGCATATTCAAAGTGTGGTCTCACGTAAACGTTGAGCATTTGCGAAAAGAAAGTAGGGTCGAACCGGCCAGACGCCCTCCGCAGTAGGCCCAATTGTTGGGTTGGCTATTTTGCTGTCATCTCATCCTGCTTTGAGCATCCGGGATCGTAGTGCCCGAGCGCCCCGAGATCCCTTTCATGAGTATTATACTGCAGGAAGTGTTCTCTCAATCAATATTGGTAGGTGCTCTGGTGGCATATCCTCATTATTTTGCAGTTGGCATAGTTACTCTCAAGCATGATCTGGGTCGACTATTCGTTAACCCTGTCGAGATCATCTTGCAATGCTATTTGGTTGTCTGCAAGTTTGGTTGCCCTCGAAATCGTGAGGTCATCCTTAAAGAGCAGAAAGTTCGACGTCAAAACTTTCGCAATGTTGTTTATGAACACGAGGAATAACCTTGGTTCTCGTACCGAGCTTTGAGGAAGGCCATAATGAACCTCTGTCGGGTCAGAGAAGGTGCTACGAATCCACACGTTCAAGGGTTTTTTGAATAGGAATGAATGAATCCAGCCTAGGATAGGGTCACCGATCCCGTAACTTCGAGTTGCGTGCGAAAGAATCTGGTGATCAGGGCGATCAAATGACTTCGAGAAATAAAGGTAAGCGGCGTCTACTACGTCTCCAGCATCGACGGATTCCGTCCATCTAGCACACGCTCACAAAAGATTCGTGGTACATGAGCAGTTTTGACGGGATCCATGCCGCTCTTGCACCATGATATGGCACCTTTCTAAATATCCCATAACTGCATCGGCGATGACAGATTCCTTAAACTTAGCAAGCACAAGAAGAAGAGTGATCGGGCGATAATTGGCGGTCGCTGCACTATTGCCTCTCGCTCAAGTAGGGGTAACCCTTCTGCGCTTCCATATTTCTGTACCCTGCATCTCGTCGAGACAGTGCTGGAAAAACTGAGACAATGGTTCAGAAAAGCTCAATGCAGCTGCCATCCACCACTTGGGGTGTATGTTATCCGGACCAGATGAAATGTACTCGCGTAGTGACATAACTCGTTTCAGCACATCCGTGGATGTGAAGGAGATGTGGTTAAGTCCTGGTGGTGATGTGATATGTGTGAGAACGATCTGGGCCCGTGATGTGTGCTGAAAAGTACGAGCGAAGTGGTGTCTAAGAGCATTAGCTGCTTCTTTGGCAGTTTGCACTTGCCCGCAGACGGTGTTTCGAGGAGAGATGCCACTCTGTACTTTACGAAGTTCGTTAATGTGCCTATGACGTAGCATAGCATTTCAGAGGAACTTCTCCGCTAAATCTTGTTGATGTTTCAACTTATCTTCGCGGGCCAGTTTGAAACAGTAGTTTCTCTCAGTTATGTAAGCATACCAGTTTCCGGCGTTTGGATCGGAACCATTTGTTTCCTCGTTTTGTTTCTCAGGAGGGACATTACTTTTACTGAGCTAAGGGTTTTAGTCTCTGATACATTTGTTACTAAAATGTTGAACTGATTGTTGAACTTTCTCACAGCGACATTAGGCGGTTGTTCCGTTAGGAACGACCCATCAGTGATTTTAATCAGGTCGGATAAAATGTCGATGTTTTATTATGCCGACCTCTCCGATTTCCCCGTTGGACGGTTCAACATAGCAGACGTGGTGTTGCATGATCACTGCACCCCAGAGGGCTACTCGCTGTCACTGTGTCGACAATAAGTTCCTCGTTGGTGTTGACGAGTTATAAATTGACCAGGTTATTCCCGTTCTGAATCCCGAAGGGGAAGTAACATGGTTATGAAGTGGGAGGCCAGCGACTAATTCTTGTAGTTCGACTTTAAACTGTTCACTAGGTGAGGCCAGAAGATCTATTGCGTGCAAGTTGAGGTACCCTGCAAGGAGAAAATGAGGGTTAGGGTGAGCCAGAGCGGTTTTTAGTACAGATGATAGACGGTTATTCACTTCCAGATTCGACATGAGTGGATGGTATACGAGGTCAACTAAATATGTATCACCCCCACTTAGTTGTAGACTGCACCGAAGTAAATCCACTATTAGAATTGCTGGGTAGTCAACGACTAGGAAACGTGGATCACTGCCGTGGCGCAAAGCTTCGTGGCGGGCAAAAGTTACCTTGGCTGAGGGAAATGAAGTCATTGGCTACAAAACTAGGTGCCGTTGGGTCCCTTCGTTTCCCTGGCTGGAGTTCACATGGCCCACCTTGTGCTTCCCTCGCAGTGGGCACCAATAGCGCTTCTGTTGTCGTCCGGTAGTCGGACTGCCTGGTTAAAGTGTATTATCTGCGGGGCAAGGAGGAGGAGGAGCAGTGAAAGTCGCAGCGTAGCTGTCTCGCCGATGTTCCATTATCTCTGAATGATAATCATCTCTGTGACGGTATGTCGACAAGATGTAGATTTCTTGATCCTGAGTGTCTTTTAGGACATTTAATCTTCCCGGTAAGTCCCCCTCCTCTCTTTCCTGTTATTCTTCGCAGCGTAGGTCACCTTGGTTGTACAGCAGTGAAGTATCAGTTTAACTGGTTGATGCACTGCCGTTGTTGATGATGATGTTGTGCCAGATGCATATGGGACAACAGCACCCCCTACGCAATATCAGTGTATCATTATCCGACTGTTGAACGCATTAGCTATGCGCAAATCACGAGTTATTGCCAAGTGAGCCTTCTTTAGAATATGTTATATATGGTGGCAAGGTTCACCGTTGATACATTGGTGGACTATCACGAAAGTATGGATATCATAGCACGAAAGCAGTTGTGTCTGCTTTAACCTCGATCATTCACTATCCACATACTGAGTCAGTGGGACGGTTGGACTCAAATGGCTGATAGTTATGCTAGTATTACCATCATTTATCAGGACATTTAGGAAACCCTCTAGCACCTATGTCATTAAAGCTAGTCCCATTGTTGATTAACTCCTACATTCGTCCTCATGTTGCATATGCAATTCAGGCCTGGTGTCCGTGGTTAAAACGAGACATCCGCCTCTTGGAACAGCCCCAAAGAAGAGCCACAAAAGCAACGCGTGGACTATCCGGTATAAGTTACGAAATGCGTCTTCGTGTACTCGGTGTGTTCACATTAGAATACCGACGGCTTCGCGGAGATCTTACTCTCACATACCGGATATTAACCGAAAGCGAGCATCCATATACATTACTGTTGACTCTAGCCCCATACAAACAAAACCGAGGCAACCACCTGAAACTAATGACGCAACACTCTCGTTTGAATTGTAGAAAGTATTTTTTCTCACTTAGAATCTGTTCTCACTGAAATGCATTACCAAGCTATGTGGTGAACGCACCAGACATGGCGGCATTCGAAAGACTCTTAGATTTTCATTTTAGTGATAAACGATAAACAACACTTTGTTAAAGTGCAATGATTTAACCACTGATACTTTACGTTCCACGTTGGAACATTTTGATTTTAATTTTCTTTTGCATATCCATCCTGTGGGCCTTGTAAAGTTATGCTTTTTATCCCATCATACACCATTGAACCATTGAACCATAGCGACTATTTTTGCAGCCAATTTGTAAGTAAGGTTTCTGGACACATTTGATAACCATACGGATAGAATGTGAAATTCCACTAGATTCACTGTTGAAGCCGTAGTTATTTTCTATGCTCCTTAAAGATCTTATGAATGTGGCTGATTTCATTCGTCCGTACGTTTCAACCATGATGTCAAAATAGAACAGGTGGTTAGTTAGGAACTTCTCCACCGAGACCTAACAGGTTCATCAATGCCCTAATGCTAATCTGCTTTGGGTTAATGAGACTGACTCTAAGGTGACCCATATACTTCGTCCTTCCAATAGCTCATATACTCTAAGAGGCTACATATTTCAGTGTCTTCATTGGGAGTGGCCTCGGAGCACTGATCGCTGATGATTTCGGCTGACCAAGAGAGCCAGATCCGAGAAACAGCAAGCAGGTCTTTTGTGGAGAGAACTCGGATGGCTTGATTCTTCCATCTTGCTGTAGTGGTTTTCCACTTAGATGATACTTCACATGTGTTAGGACATGCATGCTTGACATTCTTGGCACTTACCCAATCTCGCTATGGTCTGGATCTAACAGTGACGAATACTTCTATATTGCGTGGGTCCGTTCCAACCTCCCTGCTAACCTAGGTTGTGAAACCTGTTGAAGGTATTGATGTCTACAATTTGCCTTCATAATTGCCTACCAGATGCTGACCAATCGAAGCCACGTTCGCCACCACCATTCGAAACTCAGTGACGAGGCCGATCAGCTGAGGCTGACTGCGCAGTATAAGCTGCTGCAAAAATACCAACTTTTTTCTTCGAATGTAGCGGTCATGGATGCCACATCTGCAACTGCGCTATAAGTGTTCAATAAGCGACCTACAGATGAGTCAAGGCACTTACATTAAGTAATGTAGTGTTTATCGAAGTACACATGGCGCAAATAAACAACAGGTTCCTCGCACCTTCCACAACTTCAGGATGGGCTAATTTGTAGTTGAACGTCGTGTTGGGTCCACCGATGTACGCCTTACTTTACTAGCACTTTTGGTTTTGGTTCCATAGTTACCACTCCGACCATACAAAGGAATTTGTGTAATGTCAGATTTCTCAGACATATCATTACATCGTTCCCTTTTATTGTAAGCATTGACAGTCTCAGTCCGGCCTTTTTACCCTGCTTACCGGCAATGCTCATCCTTTTATAATGACTGCACGAATTCCGTACCATCAAAGAATGAGTTAGAGTAGGTGCCCAGCGGCCTATCCAATTTTTGACAATTCCTCTGGAGGATGTCTTCTTTATATGTCTAAATCTCGTTTGTATCTGTTAGGCGAATTTCAAGCCACCTGACGTCTAACCACTGGGGTGGTTGCATCCCTGGACGGCGCAAATTAGAACCACTAAAGAACTCAGAAATCTGTAATTTTATGGACCAGCTGCCTCAACGCGATATTGGTGACAGAACTTCCGTGGACTCACCAACTCGATCCTCTCATAAAACCAGTTCTTGCTCAAGTTTGTGTTCAACTACTGTGCTACCACTTGTCCCATCTCCAAACCCAGTCAGTGAATGGAAACCATTCCTTGTTTTCATTAACCCACAATCTGGCGGGAATCAAGGGTACTCCTTACTTCACAAATTTCGGTGCGCACTCAATCAACGCCAGGTTTTCGACCTATCCCAGAACGGACCAAAAACGGGGTAAGTATGCTAAAGTTTTGAGTGATGCAGTTACCGGATCTCACAATTAGCCTTATGTAATTTTGCATAGTAATTTATTTTGATACGCAGTAGCCGGCTGGTAGCTTACCGGAACGATGCCCATCGGTTACCGGTAGCTTAGCTGGCTTGCAGCAGTTGCATTTTTTCTCCTTTTTCTATGGACTGCGGCACAATAGCCCTGTGGACAGCTACCCGTTTAACAGCGCAGGTACGGAAGCCGAGAAGATGATCAATAGTGACTTGAGGATCTGGCTGTCAAGACTGACCAACAGCTTGCAGTCCAGTCTGTCTAGCTCAATAGGGGCGGTGCCCTTTGTACTCGGTACAGACACCCGGTCATTTGAAAATATGCAAGCTAAGTGCGCCGCCAATGTAGACACATGCTCAATGATCCAGATTAGAGGCTGTCCATCTGAACCCTCCAACGTTTATACATTGCCTGCAGGCCTCAGACGCCACTTTACGGAAGCTGTGTTGCTCCGATGGTGTGATGTTAAATCTTTCCAAATAGCCCATCGGTGTCTCAGCAATGATCGAGTCCATCACCTCTTAGATGATTGGGAGGACAATCAATGGGGGTTAATTGGCTATCTCTGAATGATTACCACTCTTAGGAATTTGGATGAGGTTACCCTGATCGCACAAGGTAGGGACCTGCTCTTCAGTCAAGCACACTTGAAATTGTCGGATTAAGAGCTCAGATGTCCTCGCAGCTGCCACCTGCATTGCCTTCGGGTGAATGTTGTCAAGGCTGTTGGAAGTATTGGTGCGCAACGGTGGCAGTTTCCACAAAACAATCTCTGAACTAAAAGTGACCTGTGTAAATCCCGGTTCTGGGTAATGGGACAGGTATGTGACTTGCTGGTGGCGCGTCGAATATTGGAACATAACGTAGCCGTAGAATATTTACAGGACCCACGGCTTTTGGGCACTTCTAGTCGTGGGGACGTCACACTTCACTTTCCGGAGGCTGTTCACATGCTTGTACGGTAGCCTGTTATTGGCACAAAACCTTTCTACTAGAACCTGCTGGTGTAGTGATTTATCCTGGCGGAGAAGTGATTAAGTTGTACTACGTAGTTGCTCCGGTTGTCAGGACTAGGGTGAGCTCTATACACACGCGACGTTGCGCCACTTACCGCCATGCGGCTTTGGGTTCTCCCGGATGATTGATGGTGCGCTTGCAGAACAAAAATGCCTGAGTCCTGACGCGAACGTGATCAGATCATTAAATTTTTCAATATACTCCGTGCAGTTATTATCATTGGAAATATTATCCAAAACTCCAAGGCGGCTTCTCCAAAGTTTTCCGTTAGTATTTCACAGTTTATGAGTGTGTGAAACAAGTCAACGTGTTTCTGTTGACAATCAGCGAAACATAGTCACAAAGTTTAAAATGATTCGAAATACCGGTAGCTCGGGTTGATGAATCAATGGTTCATTTGTTCTCCGAGCTTGGCGAGAAAACCGCCAAGCTCGGAGAACAAATGAACCATTGATAGTCACAAAGTATGAGGAAGTAGCTATTCATCACCAGAGAACTCACCATTGTTGGTTTCTCGATCATGAGCTTTTCATTCGTGAACAATAAACCAAGCGTAGATGGTTTAGTTTTCATTCCGAATGTGTTGGGTAAGCTGACATGGCCGCAGAGCGGACTGCTTGCAGTAAACCTTTGCATGTCTGCTTTGCGCTCATCACTAAGGCTGCTGTAACCTTCAGAATTCTAACATGGCTGTATCGTGGTCGCAGGACCCTTCAGAAGTTAAGTGCCAGACGGGTGTCCATCACTGGAGTGAACAGTATAGGATGATAAGCAACTGCTACGAGGCAAAAGTCATTGCCTCTCATCCGCAGACGTCACTAGAGGGAGTCTTTGGACAGTGCTTCCGGATCTTCACTGAAGTTTTACAGAAGTGCCACTTCACCCTTGCTGAGGCGATTGTCCCGAACAAGGCACATATCATTTACTTGGAATTTGGCACTGGTAATTTTCTAGTACAAACAAGTTTCAATTACGAAGATGAAGTTCCAAACGCATGGTACTTGACATTGGCACAGTTCAGCAAGCTTGTTCAGAAGCTCTTATGCATTTGTGGGTATACAATAATGTTTCCCCAATCACAATAGTTAGTCAAGGAACGTGTGTATTAGGTGTTTTGTTGTGCCGACCAGTGTAAATTTGGCTACTAATCGTTTTTGGGTGGGTCACCGGCGAACTACTTTGCGCCAGATCCAGCGATTCCGTTACCTCCTACTTGCTCCTTTGTGTGTGTAAGGCATGTTGAGTAACCATAAGTACTGGTAACCGGAAGAGTAATATTTTTGGTCTATCTTGAATAAGTAAATAAATAAATAAATAAAATTTTATTCTCGAATATTTCGAGGCAAGTCAAACCTAGCATGAACAAAAGTGGACAGGCGATGGCGTTTCGCCCGGTGCAGACTAGATTACCTGCAAGAACGTGCAAATGGAAAGTCATCTTATGAAAGGAGCGTAGTTAGCGCTGTGTTGTTAATGAACGACCGCATATGACTGACGAAAGTACGTAAACAGGTGGATGCTTATGCGTTTGAATTAGTGTTGTGTGAACTAGGGAGACTTGCCAGTGCGATGCAAATGACAGTGACTTTATTCCGTGGTGAGTCACATCCGCCACGTCGCAGTGTTGTTAAGCGAGCATCTGTGGCTTTTTATAGGGAGAACGCTTGCGAGACGAAAACCCACAACGGCTTGGAGCATTGCCATGCTCATGCTTCTATTAAATCGCTCCTTTTGTGTGTTTGCTTAGAGGGCGCCACTTTGAGCCGGATGTGCATGCACATACCCTTGCTGACATACGTCCGAATTGGAGCACCACCTTTACAATACTGCACTCATTTGCTACTTGGTCATCTACGAAGCCTAGAGATCGATTCAGCTACGAAGTTTTCCAAGGACAAGAGCTAGCGAAGTTATCGCATCTGCCGCTGGTCGTGGGTGGTCGTTACGCACTCATCACGTCCTCCAGCATCGTAAACAAGCATAGTCCAAGCTACGCATTTCATCTTGTATTCTTCCAAGCTGTGCTTTGCCCGTTTCCGCTAGCTTCACGAAATGTCCGGGAAACAGCTGACCAAACAGGACCCATTATGGAGACGAGCTTTTGACAGCAGAACTGTTTCCGCTTGGTCGTTGGAAGGCAGCATAAATCTAACTATGCTTCAGTCACCATAGTGCTTTGAATTTTGGTGACGGTTGACTTGCATCAGGTTGGTGGAACCGGCTACAACATATAGGATGTCATATGTGGGGTCTCACTAGCTCACTTCGCCAAGTTGCTTTCCCTTTACGTATTTGACGTCAATTAGGGAACTTTCGTGCTGCGTACTGACGGTACGCTTTATGGTCTCTTAATGACAGTTTGCGGAGTTTCATTTGAAGAGTATTCGCCGATAGTCTGCACACAATTGGTGGAGTCTGTTCAAGTACAGCTTCGCCTCCGTTTACCAACACTGTGACGTGGCGGATGCGACTAGTCACTGAATAAATTCACCGCCCACAACTACACACTGGCAAGTTGTCTAGTCATATTTCACTATTTCCTAGATACGTACAAGAAAATGGTACTCTCTGTCTACAGGCACCGTAACCACTACATTTATTGTGCCTTTAATGTTTACGCCACGTATATATGAACTCAAATTTTCGTCGCCTCATGGACGAATTTGCCCCTCATGTCTGTTTCAAAACATAATTGCTTGTAGATTGTGATCATACCTGATTTGCTGTATCACGATATATTCAAGAGTAAACTATTTATTTATTTATGTTGGACCTTGTAAGGGTAAAGGAAGACCTTAGTATCCGGGTGCCCTTGGACGCAACCCGTTTCCAACTAGCACCATTGTCTGAGATTACGGAAAATCGTTGGAGGTAGACGGGTCCTGCTCCTTCATATTCTCATTTGACTGGAGTTGTTCGGTTAAGGCTCATTTGGACCACTGTTGGCATTTACACGCCCATTAACTTCCAAAGCGACTTATTTTTAACGTACTGCTCATCTTCATTTCAATAAGCGTGGAGCGGAGCCTATTGGGGAAGACTGGGGAATACTGTATATTAGACGTTCTCTCAGTACACTATTTTTGGCCTTTTCCATTCGTCGAATCCGTTGCCACCAGTCCTTCTTGTTTCCGAGTGTTCATTCGCAGTATTGACCAGTGGGATGCACATACATACCACGCTGAATCCCAGAAAATATAGTCTACTATTGTATAGCGTTACATTGCTTGGTGTGAGTTCAACATAATACTGCTGAAAATAGCTAGGGAATTGAAACACTGGACTCCTGTTTGTACATTTTTTCCAAATGAATTTGGCCCATATGCTCCCTTCCTTTTTATAGCATTAGACACGGCTACTTTTTGTTCGACCATACTAACTCATGGAGTTAGCGTATTTTGTCGATTGGTGCTTCTCAGGTCAGTAGCTGGCTGTCTGACTGCACCACAACGTCAGTGCGCGTGGCCATGGCTGTCTGCTGCACTTTGAATTGATAGGGCTTGATGCCAGTGCGTCCGTAACAAGCCGCGAGGCGTCACAGGTTTTTGCGTGGTGGTGATGTGTGGACTTTTCCACTCAGAAGTCGCCCATGGGTGTAAATACTGCGACAGAGCAGTAATGGACAGAAAATATCCCATACCTTTTGACTGGAATGCCGACAGCTGTGATCCATGGATAGTTGCATAGACCACGGGTTCAGTTTTCGTTTGAGACCACAAACATTGTTGTGCGGCTCGGACTATGGAAAACTGCAGGCGGGTGTTTCTTCGAGAAGGTGTGAAAACGGCGATGTGGATATAAACGGTAATCTGTACAACTTCCAGTTTCAAACGGTCACAAGCGATTTTGCAAAACGTCTACTTTAAGTCTTGTAAAAGCTCAGTATGACTGCTTACATTTTCATTTTAGCTATATTCCATTATGCAGCTATGGC